ACGATGCTGAATTAATATAAACAAGTATGTTTATGATTATATATAGTGCATAATTTCCATGCAGTCTACGATCCGTCCGGACTGTGTAGCTCAGTTGGTAGAGCATCAGTCTAGTATTACTATTCGAAGGTCCGAAACCCAACCGTGGCGGGCAGAATTTTCTGCTAGCGCGGTTTGGAAATTATGAAATATTTCACTCGAGAACATTTTCTCCTTATCATATTACCAAGTGAACAATAACACAACATAACATATATATAATTTTGCGCTTCACATGAAACGGGTAAGCTTGCTGTCCCAAGAGAGTTGCTGACCGTCCTTATTACGTGAAGACTATACTACTATATAGGTAGGAAAGATTTTTGCCCATCCTTTGCCCATTTTGCATGTCAATGTTACAAATCCTATTTATGTTTTTTAGCATTATGGCATTCTATATTCAGGTGTGGGAAAAGTCTAAAAGTTTATTTACATGGCATGTTACATGTAATTCAACGCGCAAACAACCTGTCAATTGCTATAAACAAACGCGCCCAGAATTTTAGTTCTCCAAGACATCATCAAGCATGTGCATGACTCCATGAGTGACAAGTTTAGTGTGGATAAATTGTGGCAAGGTAAAATATTTTTTTGTATTTATATTGACAAGAAACCTGTATAATACTTTTTGTTTGTGGAAACACCACGTAAATTTGTTACTGCAATTTATTATCAGGCCATTATTATTATCAATTTATTGCAGTAATAATTAAATTTACCTGGTGTTTCCACAAACAAAAAGTATTAGGCCTATATATGTTTTATCACCATGCAAACCTACAAAGAACTTACGAAACCTCGTGGTTGATATAGGCCTCTTTCTATATATGGCAGTATAAACAATGAACGATTCTAAATTGTCTTGGTGATAATATTGTCCGTTTAATGGCCTTTTGTTTCTTACGTGTATAACACGCGCTCAAAACTAGCTAATGAATATACTTTACTTGGTTATTACTATATTATACAATATACGTTTCTCAAGCAGCAAGCAAGGTTATAAAAAAGTATGTTTAGTGCTTTATCTATATAAAATATTCCTAAAATAAAGAGATTTTAGATGGTACGCCAAAGAGAAAATGATGTCTGAAGTTCAGTAAGTTTTGCTTGTAATTGCTGTATAAATATGACGTCAATTTCACAGCATCAATGTGGACAATGATAATTGTATTTAAATTGACAATATTTAATTATTATTTTGTGTTTCTCTTCCACCAGATGCATTTAAAAAGCTTGCTAACTGCATGTGTAAACGACAAAATATTTATATAGAGCTAGAACAAAGCAATTTTGAGAGGAACGCCAAAAAGATTTGAGGTTTTGAACACTTCATCGCAAATTCAAAAAAATGGCCTCTTAACACATCATTGATATAATATCAATATGTCCACATAATGTGGACCACATTGATTCAACAAAATGCGAAATGGATCAACGAATTGTGGTCGTTAAATAGATTAACAGCTAGATGAATATGAAACGTGGTGATACTGCGATAAAATCCTTCGAAGTTTTTTATCGTCATATGTCAGGAAAATTACGTAGCTATATGTTCAAACTAGGCTGTAGTCCGTACGAATCATGGATCGAATACACTTGCAATAGACCTTTCCCCTTAAAAGTGAAATTTTGATCTAGACAAGTCTGGACAAAAATTTCATCACATCTTGAAAGAGCATCACAAAATTAGTAATATTCCGAAGTTTCGTTGCAAAATGTTGTAAAATGCGGATAATACAGCCTTGCGAAGTTTGCCGTTTTTCAGTCATTTTGATTACAAATGGGAAATTGATAATCAGATGATCAAACTGATTATCAATTTCCCGTTTGTAATGCAAAATGACTGAAAAACGGCAAACTTCGCAAGGCTATATTGTCCGCATTTTACAACATTTCGCAACGAAACTTCGGAATATTACTAATTTTGCGATGCTCTTTCAAGCTGTGATGAAATTTTTGTCCAGACTTGTCTAGATCAAAATCTCACTTAAAAGGGGAAAGGTCTATTGTTGCTACGCGTACCAAACTGCAGCTTCTCTGTATGTTACGATCAATTTTCGTGAGCATTTTCACATGTTCATGAATTAGCTTTGCCACGGTTTCTACTACGCTGATCTATAATATATCTAGTATACTGAGGTCTCAATGCATGAGGGCCTAATTTTCCCCACACAGTTTATATATACGGGTACATAAAAATCACTCTGTGCTCAGGGGCAGCGCTAGTTTTGAATAGGGGTGGGTGGGTGTAATAGACTTTTCGTTTGGGTTAACCATAGCCTATTGAAGGGGAGATGGCTGTGAAACTCATTAGAATAACAATATAACTCATTATCTATGTTGGTCAACGTTTATTCATAAATCTGGTCCTTCACCGTCACGTGTGTATTGTATTTTTACCCAACTAACCAATAGCAACAGGAAAGTCACCTATCCGTGACTCGAACAATAAGGAAACTGGAAATTGCTATTGGTGAATTTGGTAACTAACAAATTTACGGGAACTAAACACTTTTCGAACACGCTGAGTTCAAATCCGAAAAGTTCCTACTCCGTAGACCCGCAGTTTTTTCGCAAAATGCTATTTTATCTTCACTAATTTCACAGCAAATTCTTTCATTGTTCAACGAGACGGATCGATGACGATACACGATTATGTCACTCAAAATGACCAATTTCTATTAACCATTCTTCCTTTTAACAAATTAAAAGACCGGTTTTGCTCAAATTATTATGAGTTATGCAATCTTATGCGTGTTGGACGTAAACAACATATCTTGTCTACAACTTTGAGAAGGTACAGATAACTCCTTCTAATATCCTTACTTCTGGATCTATTTCTATAAAATCACAAGGACGTTAATGTGTCTCTGGGCTGAGAAATAATTCCTTACATGCGATCAAAATGCTTTATACAAAGATATAAAACGCGGTAATCTATATGTAATGGATCAGCATTGAATTTTCCAACACGGTTTCCGAGACGTAATTCAAGAGATAACTTATTGCATTTGAACTATTACATCAGTTGGTGTTTTACTGTGCGATAAGCGAATATATTATTGGAAAGAGGGCTTCTATATACGCCGAAATCATCAAATAAACAGCTCATGCACACATTTCTCCACTTCGTGGTAAGTTTTATACAGAGCATATTTTGTACTTTGGGACTGATCTTTGTCTTTGATGTAAACATTTATTCTTATAGTTTAAGGTTATTTAAGATTGATCCTGTCGTAAGTCTTCTATCTGCAACCATTCGACAATATTTCATTTTAGCGTTGTCTTTGCCGTTACGTTGGCGTTAAAATTAAGGCCACATAAAATAAATTCCTTGTTTCTCATCACCGCCCGACTGTATTTTAAGAGCCGCGTGAATTTTTTTTATATTTTGTTATACAATATAAATGTACCGCCCGACAAAATATTTCAAGACAGTTAAGTTTTTTATATTTTATATTGGGTTTTTAGTGCCATTTTAAACTGCCAATTTCAAACAAATAGAACCTTGAAAGAAATTTCATTGCATTTTAACGGAACTTCGATCGCATTCAGTTCAAGGGCCAGTCATTGTTCGTGGAGAAATATGTTTATTTCAGTTTGTGACACTTTTATTTATTGATATATAGTTAAATTATATAAATATAAAATATAAACCTCCCGCCTCTTCGACATTTTCAAAGTGTTATAGTGATGAGAATCAAGGAATTTATTTTATGTGGCCTATAAAAGAGTTATTTTTCAGGCCAGTGACATATAGCTAAAAGACATCGCATTAATGAATAATGTCCTTGTGATTTTATAGAGATATCTCTAGAACTGAGGATTCTAGAAAGCGTTATCTGTACTTCCTCAAAGTTGTAGACAAGATATGTTGTTTACGTCCAACACGCATAAGATTACATAACTGAAAATGATTCGAGCAAAACCGATCTTTTGTTAAAAGGAAGAATGGTTAAGAGGCAATTTTTTTCAATGCCACGTATTTGCAATGAAAAGTGTTCAAAACCTAAAATCTTTTTGGCTTTCCTCTCAAAATCACTTTGTTTGTGTTTTATTCTCTAGTTTATAGAGTTAGCTACCTTTTTAAATGCATCTGCCGGTTGAGAAACATAAAATAATAGTTAAAAATTGTCAATTAAAATACAATTATCAATGATGCTTTAAAATTGCGCCATATTTACAGCCATAAGCAAAACTTACTGAACTTCAGACATAATTTTCTCTTTGGCGTATCATCTAAAATCTCTTCATTTTAGCATTATTTTACAGATAAAGCACTAAACATACTTTTCAAGATTGTTTGTCGATTGAGAAACGTATCGAAAAATAAAAATTTTGGATTTAGTCATAACCTCAAGTGATATATTATATATATATACGCATTAGTTTTGAGCGCGTGTTATGTAACATACAAAAAAACTCCTCTTAATAGAAATTGGTCCTTTTGAATGACTTAATCGTGCGTCGTCATCGATCCGTATCGTTGAACAATGAAAAAATTTGTTGTGAAATTAGTGTAATAAAATAGCATTTTGTGAAAAAACTGCGGGTCTACGGAGTGGGAACTTTTCGGATTTGAACTCAGCGTGTTCGAAAGTGTTAGTTCCCTTAAAAGTATTTCAGATCTAGCTATTATTATTAGTATTATTTGGTGTTTAAATACACATTTTCGCATAAACAATGAATTACAATGTGTTTACATTCAAAGTCAAATTTAGTTTATAGTTATTTACACGGTCATAAAATTTAAGCTAAAACAGGTTACGAATATTATTAATATAAAAGTTAAGATCGAATAGTCAGTTAAGAATATTTTTAAAATTTAATCATTTAATCTAAGGTAGGTTCCTTTCTCTATTTCATGGCATTCAGTTCAACAATTGCTCTTGGAAAGAAACTGTTTTTAAAGCGTTCAGTTCTGCCATTTATACAATGACAGATATTTAAGTTTCTAATACACAAGCTCTGGATTGTGTCACGTGTTCAACAAAGGGGCCTGCTCGTTTAGCAATCTTCTGTAAGTTATTTATACAGGTTTCGTTTCGCCTGTCGCTAAGTCTTGTGCAATTAGCCAATTGGAGAGCTTCGTCGTATGAGTGGCCAGGAAAGATAATGCGCATGACACGCTTTTGTACAGTCTTTCCAGTTCGTCAGACAGATAGCGACATGCTTAGTGAAAGACATGCGTAATGAAAGTGAACGATATCGGGTCACAACACACGGACTAGTAGCATTGTTTGTTTAATTTTTTCGTAATTTTATTACAAATATTACATTTTTGTGGCTAGTAGCCATTATCACATAGTACACACTACACAAACGCGATGAGCGATGATGATCATGGTGTCCAGTCCGGATTTTCGTAAAGTATCGGGAGCAATCGGAAGCGCCCGTATTTTTCTGCCGACATTTCACATTTGCATTTCGAGGCAATACTAGTGATGTTGTTAGTTTGTTACGACGCAGTACTGGTGAGGTTGTTAAACCAGAAAATTAAAATAAAGTTTATCTTCATGGCTTCAACCTATGGCGACGAAACCGATCAGAAATTGCGCGTACTCGCCGTGTAAATATGGGTTTTGATTTGCACTTTTGACTGATTTGCGGGCCATTTGCCATCTTGAATTGTCTTCTTGTTGAGATTTCATATATCAATTGCATTCGAAATGTTTGGTATTTTAAAGAAGGGGTATTGTTTGGAGGAGGTACGTTTATAATGCAGCGAATAAAACCAGCATTGGATAATTATGGTAAAAGACCAGAAACTGTACATCGTAACATCGAACTCGTTTATTTAAAGGCTTTAAGTATACCTTTCTTCAGACATTGACGGCGTCTCAAATGTCTACATATTTGTAATAAACCTATAAAGGTTATTGCGTCTGTCTTAGGAGATATATAGTCGAATAATTCAGCATGATTTGTCTCACGTTCACTTATAAGTTGACTAATATTGCATTAAAAGTGGCAAACGTTGGTGTGCTAACCAAGATTTCAGTGTGTTTGTTTGCTAATATTGCTAGGCCTATATCTCAAACGCTATTTGCCTATTAAAATATCATATGACACGCAATTTTAATTCCACGGCAAAACTGCTGTTGCGCAAATAACAAACGCGAGATTAAGTAAATATGGCAGTATTACAGTTTAGTAATATTGCATTAAAAGTGGTAAAAGTTTGTGTGCTAACCAAGATTTCAGTGTATTTGTTTGCTAATGTTGCTATATCTCAAACGCTATTTGCCTATTAAAAATATCATATGAGACGCAATTTTAATTCCACGGCAAAACTGCTGCTGCGCAAATAACAAACGCGAGATTAAATATATGGCAGTATTACAGTTTAGGTATCTTTTAAATTGCTAATAGATCACATGGAAACTTTTTACAATCGTTATATTCAAAAGCCTAGCGCGCAAATTCACATATTTGTGTTTATTCAAGTGTTATTCATGATTCGCTATTTACATGGAAAGCGACGAGATATGACACGGTATTTTTCAAGTGTACCGTGAAACTCAACTGACAAAATGAGCTTGCACAAGTGGGAGAAAATTTGCGCATTCCGACCATCGTGGTGTGTCTTCTTATTACTATTAAATTTAAAGTTAACCAGCATGGCAGGCTTTCTGGGTTTGGAGGAGGGTTTGGGGAGTTAAAGTTTACCAGGCTAGCCACATGTACGCATTGCGTACCTATTTTTATATATCAGTGTCAATCAAATGTTTTAGTTTCTTTCCTTCCTATCCAACTGGGGTCAATTGAGGGTGATCCACAATTACCCCCTTTTATAGCTCCTCCTCTGCTTGTGCTGACTTTTATAAGAGGGAAAGTCGAGAATGTGAGAGAATCTGAGAAAGCAGGCAGATGCAGCTTTTTCAACAAAAGTTATCCTTTTTCTAATGATCAAAAGACCGGCCCAGTTCATCTGAAAATCATGCTTCACTAGTGGGGCAAGCAAAGGGCCTACTGGGGTAATAGTCCAGTCAAATCACTATAAGTACATGGTCCTGATCAAAGTAATCGCAGTAGATTTTTCTCAGTGGTAAAGTGTGTGAAACGTTCTGATTAACATATTAAAAATCCAAAAAAATCCCTTCGGTGGAACATGGTGAAAGTCAAGTTTTACTTCTACCTATAGAAAACCATTGCGGACAAAATGCTGAAATTTTGAAATTAATTTTTTGCAAATATAACATGCATCATTGGAAAGCTTGGAAAAAACTAAAATATACAGGGTGTATCAAAAAAAGCGCAATCCTCGACTGAAATGTAAATTGCTAAACAAATAATAGACGAAAACGTTAAAGTTTACATTCATTTTAAAGCGTAGCCATTCAGCTTT